CATGTATGACTGCACATATGGTGCAACACTACATAGTATACAACCAGAGAAATGAAAATTTGTGCTGCAATTGTGTACAATGAATCAAAATGCATTCTGCTGTCATATATTCCTAAAAGAACCATCTTTGGGCTGGGGTTGGGGCTCAGTGGTAGTGCACTTGCCTGGCATGTGTGAGGCACTGGGTTCAATTCTCAGCACCGMGTATAAATAAATAAAATAAAGGTCTGTCAACAACTAAAAAAATATTTTTAAAAATGAACCACCTTTAAGAAAAGAATATTTAAAGTCAAAACTTAGCTAACAGGTAGATTTCATAAGGTAAAATACTGACATTACATAAAATGAGACAATTCAGATTTGTTTAACAATGACCAATTATGGACTTTAAGGCAGGCATGGTGGTTAAGATCATGACTAGGTCTCACATAGTTACATTATAAAGCCTGATTTTCTGATTCTAGAGCTCCAGTTTATTTAATGACCAATGAACAATTTGCTCTTTCATAAACCTGTATTCTCTTCAGAGTAAAAAACACCTGTTAGGGGCTAGGGTTGTAGCTCAGTGTTGAAGCACTCTCCTAGCATGCATGAGAAACTGGGTTCGATCCTCAGCACCACATAAAAATAAATAAAATAAAGCTATTGTGTCCAACTACAAATTAACAATGAATATTTTAAAAAGAAAGGAAGAAAGAAAGAAAGAAAGAAAGAAAGAAAGAAAGAAAGAAAGAAAGAAAGACACCTGTTAGATCTCCATTGTTAGAGTGATTATAACCAGTGATTTGAAAAAAATTAACCTTCAAGTGAATCACCTGGGAGATCTTGTTCAAATGCAAAGTCTGGAAGGAAACTCAATCTGTCCTCTTCAATTTTATTACAACTGTCAGGAAGGCACGCAACATCCTTTAAAGAGTGAGAAGGGCCACATCTGGACATCTGGGAACTATTTGTTAATGGTTTATTTACATTCCTAAGAAAAAGCAAATAAAGCTCAGCACTAACAATAAATCTACTTTGTACTATAGTCAGAAAAATTTGTTGATTTAATAAATGTAGAATAATTAACTAAATATAATGAACAAACTGTTACATGGTTCAGCTTCTTTAAGGAGATATGGATAAAACTTTTATTTTCACAGTTAAAACATTGATAGAAATAGCAACAGTCAGTAATTCATGTTATGATTAAACTTTTGTAGTATCATCCCAGTAGAAAATGTAGGTTAAATTTTGTGGACATTCAAAATGTGTATGATTGTCATTTGCCATGCCCAAAGGATTTTTAAGTCTCACAGAAGTGAGGTCAGTATCAAAATGGAAAGYTTTACTCTCAAGTGAGTTACATCTATTCATTGAATGGACTTACTAAGAAACCACAAAATAATACAAATAAAATTTTTCAGTAATTTTTAAAGTCAATTCTAACAATATTAGAAAATATACCTCTTTATACCACATAGGAACTTAGTAAATGTTTTATTTCTAGAAATTCATCTATATATTAATTCTTACCCATCAACTTTTTCTTCTTCAGTTGACTTTGTAGCCTTCACAAATTCACTGTACTCTTGGCCTGGATCATAAAGTTTGGCACTATCACAGGGAAAGTCTAAACTGTTTGCAAGGGAGGCAGCCTGCAAGTGCTGCATCTGGAACAGATTAACGGTTACCTATCATCACAGACACAAAAGGCAGAAAAGACTTGTGATATACAGAATGCATTATAAATAAATGTATGTTGACTTCAATGAATGAACCAATAAAAAAGGGCACACAAGTGAAACAGCTCTGAATACCACTGTACACATGGTATATTGCCCAATATTATGAAAGATAAAGATTGTAAACTAAAAGAGAAGTTTGAATCTAATATCTAGGTGTGCTCATTTGCTACAAAACTGTTTTTAAACTGTAAAGTTTAAAAAATACAAGCCACGTCCCTGATGGTTCACAATTTGAGGATCCATAGCTCTGTACCCTGATGGTCTGACCACACTGCCTAAACTTACTTGCATGACCATGATGATCAAGTTATTTATAACCAGTGATTTGGAAAAAAATTAACCTTCAAGTGAATCACCTGGGAGATCTTGTTCAAATGCGAAGTCTGGATCAAAACCCAAGATTCTACATTCCTTATAGGCTCCCAAAGTAATGGCAATGTGACTAGTTCAAAGACCTTATTTTTAGAGGAAAGGCTTTCTAGAATTTTACTTCTGCATCAGTTCAAAGGAGATCAAAGAATTGTATTGTTCCAATATGATTATGTGCAAATAAATAACTTAATGTAGACAAGCAGTTTAATACACTGGTATATAAATACTTAATCTTAAATATCATTATTTATTATTTGAGGTGAAAGGAGTTTTGTGAAAGGTAAACAGCCTAAATTACTTACAAGGTAATTTCAAATCCTGGGATGTTATAATCCTATTCAATTATTTTTTACTTCTGTAAGCTATAACATTAATTAATCAAAATTTGGTAAATGAGAACTGGGGCTATAGCTCAGTGGCAGAGCGCTTGCCTAGCATGTATGAGGCACTAGGTTCAATCCTTAGCACCACATAAAAAATAAAATAAAATAAAGGCACACTGTCCATCTACAACTATAAGGAATTTTTTTTAATTTGGTAAATGAATGAAACACAATTTAAAATACCCAGAACATTTTAACAGTTTCTGATTCAGATGCAGTAATCTCACTATCCCTTGGTCTATACTGAATTTGCTCAAAAACCCTGGTCAGAATGCACAAATCAGCTATCTAAGAACTCTGAAAAGAAAATGGTAGCAGGTAGAAAGTAGCAAATAAACCACAATTCAATCCTGCCCCCACCCCAATCACATATCCAGCCTAGACTTGGCCCCTACTCAAAAACAGCTCGAGTCCCAAAAGTGTAAACAGGATATGGACAGAAAGATCTCCAAGAGAGATCTTCTCTTGTCCAAGGAACAAAAAAAGAGCATGGAGTAAGAGATATGACTAAAAGAGTAGGTCATAACCTGGTTTCTTTGGTGGATTTATTTCCTCTCCTGCCCCAGTGCCCAAACAAGCATAAACCCCTAAGATGCAATCCTGTCCTGTGGCAGCGGGTGATGTGAGTAGAAGTAGAATAGAAACTTCAGAGGGAATCCTTTATGACAAGATGAATTGTGCTCCAAWGAGTGAGTGGATTTGAAATTCTTCTTGTTTTTCTTTATTCTCCCCTTATTTAATGACTGAGAATTGATGCCCCTGGCTCCCTRGAGCATAGCAGAGTAGGGAGGTACATTTTAGTTTCCCAGTTAGAAGACTAAGAGGAAGGCACACAGGAGGTGGATCGTGAATCTAACTAGATCAAATTCTGTTCAACTTAAAAAAAAATGAATGTCCAATTCAGGTTATAAACAGGATAAAAAGGTCACAGAAAGTATTACTGAAAATGTGTTGGATATCATTTAATGCTACTYGTCACACAAAGAACCAGGAAAATCTCAACTACTCACAAGGGAAAAGACAGTGAACAGACATCAACAATGCGGTGACTCAGATGGTGCAATTATCAGATGAAGACTCTAAAGCTGCTATGATAACATGGTCAACAAGTGAGGACAATCAGTCTTGAAACCTGAACAGAAGTCTCAGCAGTGAAAYAGAAGATCCAAAAAAGAAACAAAAGGGATTTTTTCTACTAAAATTTTTATTAAAGGATTGTATAGGAAAATGAAGTCAGTGAACCTGAGACAGATACATAGGACAATAAAGATGCCCTTCAACTTATAATTACTTCCTGAAAAATCCACCCTAAGTTGAAAATATACTTAAAACCCACTGTAAAGTTGTAAAATCTTAGGCTGAACCATAGTAAGTTGGGTACTGTTTGTAAAAAACAGTTAAAGGGGAAAAGATTGGGGGGAAAAATAGGATCAGCCAGATCTGTGAGAGCATCTGAGTCACCTGAGTTTTAGAGAAGAGAAAGAAAGTGCTACAAACAAAAATATTTGAAAAAAACCATAGCTGAAACCTTGTCAAAATTTGCAAGGATCAAATGTGTAGATTCAAGAAATTCAGTGAATCCAAAATAGGAAAAACTCAACAAAATCCATGTATAAAGATATCTTAGCCAAACTGCTTAAAGGCAAACACAGAGAGAATTAATCCTTGGAAGCAGGGTTGGGGATGTGGCTCAAGCAGTAACGCGCTTGCCTGGCATGCGCAGGGCACTGGGTTCGATCCTTAGCATCACATAAAAATAAAATACCCATGTTGTGTCTACTGAAAACTAAAAAAATAAATATTAAAAAAAATTCTCTCTCTCTTTAAAAAAAAAAAAAACCTTGGAAGCAGCCAAAGAAAAGCAACACAAACCATACAAGAAATAATGACCAACTGACTATGGATTTCTTCTGAGAAACCATGRAGGCCAGAAGGCAGTGAAACAACATTTTTAAAGTGGTGGGGAAAAAAAACAACTGAATTGTATATTTATAACTCAATATACAGTGAAAATGTTCTTTAGAATTAAGGACAACATGAAGGTATTCTTAAATGAAGGATAATTTTAAAAATTGTGACCAGCAGACTTGCTATGAAAGAAATGGTAAGGGAAGCTCTGTTTACAGAAGAAAAACATTACCAGACAGAAGATGGAACTATAGGAATGAAAGGGAAATAAACAGAATGGAAAGCATCTGGACAAATATCATATACTACTTTCCTTCTCTTCTTTATAATACATATGACTTTTAAGCAAAAAAAATTAAGTTGGCCTGGTGAGATCTTTAATGTATCATATCAACCACAATCCTCAATGGTTAAGGGGACTTATATAGTGAAAAGGTTTCTACATTCTACCTGACACTTCAGGTAAAATATTAGTTCTCAGCAAACTGTGAAAAATTACAGACAGTTATCCCTCAGTATCCATCTGGGAAGGTTTAAGGTTACCCCTCAGATACCCAAATCTCAGATGCTCAAACCCCTTATATAAAATGGTATAGATTTGTGTATAATCTATGCATACTCTCCAAATACTTTAAAGAAGATTTGTAGATCACTTACAGTATATAATACAAAGCAAATGCTATGTAAATTGTTCTTATACTATATTGTTTAGAGAATGATATAAAGAAAGTCTTTTTATATTCTACAGTATAGATGTGATTTTTTTTTCTGAATCCATGGATGTGGAATCCATACATACAGAGGATCATATTCACATAAAAATACTGCAATTCTTAAATCAAAACTACTCTAAGATACCATCTCACTCCAGTTAGAATGGCAGCTATTATGAAGAYAAACAACAATAAGTATTGACTAGGATGTGGGGAAAAGGCACACTAATACATTGTTGGTGGGACTGCAAATTGGTRCAGCCAATATGGAAAGCAGTATGGAGATTCCCTGGAAAATTGGGAATGGAACTACCATTTGACTCAGCTATCCCTCTCCTCAGTCTATGCCCAAAGGACTTAAAGTATACGGGGTAAAATGGGAGTTCATAACCCGCTTGAATCAAAATGTGAAATATGATATATCAAGAACTATGTAATGTTTTGAACAACCAACAGTAAAAAAAATAAATTAAATAAATAAATAAATAAATGAAAAAAAAAAAAACAGCATACTACAGGGACACAGCCACATCAGTGTTTACAGCAGCACAATTCACAATAGCTAAACTGTGGAACCAACCTAAATGCCCTTCAGTAGATCAATGGATTAAAAATGTGGCATATATACACAATGGAATATTACTCAGCAATAAAAGAGAATAAAATCAAGACATTTTCAGGTAAAYTGATGCAGCTGGAGAAGAAATGAAGTTAGCCAATCCCAAAAAACCAAATGGCAAATGTTTTCTCTRACATAAAGTGACTGACTCATAGTCGGGTAGGGAGAGGGAGCATGGGAGAAATAGATGAACTCTAGATAGGGCAGAGTGGTGGGAGGGGAAGGGAGACAGCATGGGGTTAGCAATGATGGTGGAATGTGATGGACATCATTATCCAAAGTACATGTATGAAGACATGAATTGGTGTGAACATACTTTATATACAATCAGAAATATGAAAAATTGTGTTCTATATGTGTAATAAGAATTGTGATGCATTCTGCTGTCATGTATTTAAAAATAAAAGCAATTAAAAAAACAAATACTGCAATTCCTAGTATAACCAACTAAAGTATATATGTGTACAATAAGATATAATAAAAACCCAATAGATGAATTAAAAGGACAAAATGTAGATGCACATTTTAAGTTAAAATGTAATTCTGATAAATGACTAAATTAAATGAATAATTWAAAAAATGTAGTTCCAGAAAATTATCAATTCAACCAACAGAAGACAGCAAAAGGGAAATAGATTAAGGAAATATAAGGTATAAACAGGAAAGAAATTAAAAGGACCTACATATGAATATATATTTAAATTAAATATAAATGGACTAAGCACTTAAGAAAGTATAAACTAACTATAGTCTATATAACAAACTTACTTTAAATATAATGATAAAGTTAAAAATGAAAAAATGGAAAAAGATATATCACTTTCAAAAGAAAATTGAAATAACTCTATCAATATTACATAAATTAGTCTAAAAAAGCAAGGAAATTTACCAGGACAAGTAGACATTTCATAAAAATAAAAGGATTGATTTATCAAGATCATATAGCCATTG